GCAGTTCGTCTGGTCGCACCAGCCTCAAATGAACCGTACATACAATACCGTGCCCTGAAAGGAGAGAGACTCAACAAGCACAACATTGTTAACAACATATTTTCAAGACGATATTGAATGCAGACAATCGCGGCGTCAATAGAAAAGTGCATCGCAATGCGAGGAGTAACGCGCGTGACAACACAGGTTAAGCATGAAGGTATGACAACACCCGTGAAACGTGCACAATAGTATGAGTGGTGTGCATGAGAATAGGCAAGTGATAGCTGCTGGCCTCAAACAGAGAAAGACGCTTAATCAAACATAAAAAGGAGCTCAAAATATGACTATTTACAGTTTGGGTCGGAGCCCAAAAATGCTAGCAAGTGAGGCTTAGGTACAAAGAAAAACAAGGCACAAAAGAGGGAAAATGGGACTCACCCTTGTAGACCAATGGACCAACAGCTCTTGGACCAAGTTTGGGAGCTCTTCACCTCTGGAAAGCAGCCTGAAGTTTCTGGAATGGAGGATGGAGGCCTTATCCATGCATGATCTTAACTATACAGAAATGCCTAATGCAACACATGCAAAAGTGCAACTATAGCAGGCTCGGCTATTCTAAACATGGCATATGAAATGCTACAGCTAACATGTATTCAACTTGGAATTGAAAATACAATGCAGTTAGTATGATGCGCCGAGCCCGGTGCATGCAAAATAGATGAATGAATGCAAACATGCTATCATACTATATGCTAATTGAAACATTCCCTAATCTAACCATCATGAGCGGGTAAATAAAAGGAAGAAAGACGTGGGGTTGGAAGACATACATCACACACACGCACACTTATTACAACATTGCCCTCGCGCAGAGGGTCCGAATAAAATAATATACAGTCCCAAATAATTACAGCCCAAATAATTACAAAATCCTAATTAATTTACAAATTTAACTGAGAAAGCTGTAAACTAGCATGCAAGCTAGGGACTGCCTCGACTCCGCTCCGGATGATGAATGATGCATGCTCGGGTTGCTTGGTACGGAAATCTACTGCGATGCCCCAATTAGCCTCTGTTTGCGATGATTTCTTGGAAAGCGCGCCAAGCCCCGGAAGATTGCTGATTCTTGATTTGCTGCAACAGAGAGCAGGAAAGGGGCATGGCAATGTATTTTCACATATGTATGCGTGACTACTCTTCAGGGAGTGTAGTCCTCGATCCTCGTGCCACCAATCGCTCATATCGATGCATGATGGCCGAGGAGTCGATTTGCATGACTCAATATGGAATGAATGCACACATAAACACAACGAAACCTAAACTCTATCATGGATAATCCGGAGTGTCGGTGACTGGGAATTAAGACGCGTTCCGTCACTCGAAGTACGAAACGTCCCTCGTTTCCCGTGCTCGGGCTAACTCCTATCCCAAGCACAATGTAATATGCATGACATGAGTGAATGCAACTAATATACAACCTAGCATGCACAGTGCTATGAGATGGCATACACGATGCACGAGATAACATGGCATACACAATGCGCTAACATACAACCTAGCATACGCAATGCTATGAAATGGCATACTCAATGCACAATGGACTTACACTAACATGAGTGGACCTCAGCCACACTCACATAAGAGGCCATATGATGAAAATGAGACAACTCGAGATACGCGCAAGCATGCACGCAAACCGAAGACCGATCCTAAGGCACAAAATGCCACTCTAACAAGACATGGCAAGGCATGAAATATGGCATACAAGTATGCAAATTTCAGTACCAAAATATGATGCAAAACAGCCCCGAAACATGGAAACATGGCACCCGATGCACGGAATGAACCCGAAACACGAAACTAGGCATATGCATTGGCCTATAGCTATACAAAACATGCATTATTTGAACACGAAATGTGAAGACAGATTCAAGGCAGCCCCAAAAAAAGCATATTTACAGTTTTAAGCAAGGCCAAATAGTGAACATAAATGGGGCTAAGCTAGCATGCAAAAATGGCCCCGAAAGCGAGATAATGAAGCAAGTGGCAGCTGCTGGCTCCAAACAGATGAGGGCCCTTCAAC